GAACTTGACGGTAATCTTAAAAATATCTAGTAACGAAACTGATTCTCATAAATTAAGAATGCTTTAAATTAAAAATGCTTTAGCTGGCTAATTTTTTATGAATCATTTATTATTAGTATATTTTCATATTTAGAAAATTCTTAGTTATTTCCGGTAATTCCGGAGTCACTCATGATTTCGATGAAACATTTCGAGCCCCTGTGGCCTAATGGATAAGGCATCGGCCTCCTAAGCCGGGGATTGTGGGTTCGAGTCCCACCAGGGGTAAAACGGGTGTCCTAGTTTTGGTACATTAATATCAGATCCACATACATAAGTTTTCAATTCCTATTTTAATAATAATATATGTATTGTATATATTTACGTATATTTTTTAATATAAAATTATATTGTATATAGTATTGTTATGATACCTGTTTAAAATAATACTGATTTTAACATCTTTGCCGTAAAAAAATTCTCAGAACAATGTAGAAATATAATACGATGGAAAATTGCTTTCTGTTTGTTTTTCCTGAAAGCATAGACGACATAAATGACATTACGGAAACAAATTGAGCTCGATAACTTAATCTGATAGATTTGACAGTTGCGTCGACTGCTGTGTGGAAATTGCAAAAATTGCTTTTTTTGGTCTGTGGTTATTATATATGTACGTATTTAAGTACAGAGTTCACAAGTAGTTTGTTTCAAAATTGTTATACATATATATAATGAATAATATTCATTCTTTGCCACTAGTATAATTATGTACTATTCGCCACTAGATGGCAGTATCATGACTGCATAAACCGGTAACGCGCACACGCGCTTTTAATATTTTAGAACAAAATTCTTAAATAAATACAGGAACGTTCCTGGAAAGCTCACAAAGTGTAAGTATAATACAAATAAACATCATAAACACGTTTTCTAAATAATAATGTTATTAAATAGAGATCTCATATATATCTTATATAATAGAAAATATAAGTCTTTTATCTGATTATTAATAATTTTTATTAATAATCGATAGAAGTGTGAAGTGGGTACTTAACTTCACACTATCCTCTACGTATCTAAGTATACGTAAGTATTAAGTATTTAAGTGTTAACGAAACTTTGTAAAGGATTAGGTTCATCTAAGTTCATATAAACTATTTCTTAGATACCTATTAGTAGGCATAATGTAAGTGTTTAACTTTTAAACATGAAATCACGTTGAATTTAAATATTGAAAGCCATAAACTAAATAAGATTAAGGACTTGATTGCCTATTTTTTAATTCAGTATTTCCATCACATGTAATAGGTATATAATTTTAATATTGTCTGTTTACTACATTCAATATACGCATAATAAGCTCTTTATGACGTCGTACAGTCGCAATAAAGAGCAATAGAAATTGTGAAATGCCTTCAATATTGAAATGTCGACCCAGTTCGTGTGGCCACGGGGGGCCACAGCGGGCCGCGGGGAAGAGGGTGTGCCGGAAGAGCTGTGGGGTGGCTCAAGTCACTACAATTAATAATAGCTCGTCATCTATTTTATTACCAAGAATAACCGATCCTCGTTTTCACACATTAGCGCATTTACCCCCAAGAGGTTTTTTAAAACGCAGTACACGAAAATGTTTATCTGTTATCAGTTTATTTTTTACATATTACAATTAGGAAATGTATTCCCATGTTTGGTCATAGATCTCATACTTAAAGTCTTCATATAAATACTTATATATGTATATCAATAGAATAATGGTGGCTGTAAGAATAATCCGCTGGCGATGTTGTGATACAGATATTGAGTGGATTATATAGTAATAAATATAATTTACTTAAATCAATGTGCCTAATATATTGTAGGAAAAAAAATCAAAATTGTAGTACCTAGATAAGATTTATTCCGAACGAGTACCGTTCGGAATAAATCTTATCTAGGTACTACAATTTTGATTTTTTTTCCTGAGCACACTACAATCAATTCTAGATAAAAAAATAATTTGACTTAATAATTATCTACATTTTATAGAAATTGTACTAATTTACTTTCTTAAGCTTATCTTATCATTACCATCACAATGCATTTCGAGTAGGTGATAGTTAATTACTATACAACGCCATAAGACTGCCGTTTACTTGTTTTCTTGATCGCCAGTCCAGTTATATAAACAATGAATTTATAATAGAAATAATAGCAATTTAGCTGAAGAAATTTACATGCACAAATAAATATATTTACCTAGGAAAGCGTTAGTTTCAATTTCATATTGTTTCCTAGTGTTGGACGCGTGGTGGTGACAGTGCTATACGCCGCGGCGCCGCGGGTGTCCAAAACGTGCCAGTCACAACTGTCAGATACATTGCAAACAATAGCGTTATTTCCATGCAATAACTACCACTCCGGGTATCTAATTTTGAACCGTAGTACATATATTCGCTTATTGTAGTACATGTTATTGAACGCAACAAGTGTATCCAATACTTTCAAATTTAAATAGTAATATTTTTCTCATATTTAATTCGGGTGACTACTTATAAACGAATTTTTAGAGGTGATAATATAAAACAGTTCTTATGCATTGCCGCTCTTGATTGCAGTAATATCATGTAGTCTTTATAACACTCATCAAAATCTATGCTACCAAAATACATTCAGTTCTACAGTGCCTATATAATATTAGATGTATATATTACGATAGTGATAGAATTTGAAAGCATTATTGTTAATCTTTTTACATATAAAATAAATGCAAATGCTAATTCTGTCACCGTATATTTTGGTATACTGTAAGGTATCAATGAACTACCTTATTACCTACATACAGAACCTATTTACATACGGTGGCGAATATTTGATTTCATACTAAATATTGTTCACTGGATGTGAATGGGGCTTTTCATATTTTTAGGCATTTAATTCTTTTATTATACTAATTTATCTAGAACTATGCTCTATAGCAGGAAATGCGATATCCTTATATTATCTGGCATAGTTAAGTTTATACAACAAAGCTAGACGAGTTGCCGTACTAGTTACAGTTGGGACTCGCCCATACTGGCGCCACGTTCTCGTAAACCCACCGCTAGATGGCGATGCTCGTTTTATTGGCTGTTTGCACAACAAGCTGTAATGGAGGACTACAATATTGACAGACCATTAATTCGACAGGAAATTGTGCTGAAGCCGCGTTTGGTGCAGGTGATTGTGAACTTTTCAAATTATCCGCGTGTTTCATGGTTGTTTCCACTTTAAATACGCCGGTGAATTAGTTTTTTTATTCCTAACATAGCGGAGTATACAGATACGTACATGGAACAACATGGAAGAATGGATTTTAAGTTGAATAAACTCGAAACAACTTAATTTTTGACTCGGAATTTTAGTAACTTCTTCAGTATAAGAATATACTTAGACGAGTAGTATCAAGTGATAGCTGTCGGTTCATTCCTCATATAATATAATCTATACATATTATTCTTACTAATGTCTGTCTGTCTGTAAATAAAAAATATGCGAGAAAATCTTATAATAAGGGGCTTTATAAAGGTAATAGAATCTAAAGTGATTGTCACCATTTTATCTGTTTGTTTGTGCGGGTTATTCTCAAAAAGGGTTAAACGGATTAGGTTCCATTTTGTGTCATTTTCATTAAAAAAAAAGTTGATTGGGTTCGTAGTGAGTCCAGCTTGTACGCAATGTAATAAAATAGTTAGGTATGTTATAATTTGTAAAAATTATACTAACTATATTTTAAATTTCATAACTTATGTCTACATATGACGTTATGAATCCTAAAATAACATACTCCTATAAGTAGTAAGGGACTTCGCTTACTTATTAAGTACTGACACTAACGTCGTAGTAGGAGGTAAGTCATAAGTAACTAGTACTCATTGAACCTTATTTTTGCTACCATCGATAACTGTGATATGCTAGTATAATTTAATAATTGCCAATAGCATTTTCCTTATTTGTACGAAGCTCTAAATAAATGCGCTCGGGTACACCCCGGGCGTCGGAGCGACGTATTCTTTTAATTAAGCCACGCGGAAAGCGTCGTAACTTTTATGAGGTCCGTGATTTAACTATTATTTGTCATCAATTTTATGTCCTCCTAAAACAAATAGTAGACGCTGATGGAATATCCTGAATCACATAAAATGTTTGCAAGCTCCGTAGTTTGTTACTTTATTGTTGAAAAATGGTAATAAAGTTATAAATTACTATTTTTTATACCGTTTAATTAAATATTCACTCGACTACAAAACTAAAAAAAATGTTGAATACAATATTATTTTTATTATAACGTAATCTTGATTTAAAATTGAAAGTATTCAGTTCTTTATATATATACATAGGAACTTATTAGTAAAATGAGACAAATTATAGAAAAATATCATTAAATAATAGTCTCAAATACCGTAGCGCCATCTAATGTTGATTATTTAAATTCTTGCAATACAATGCCCTCTGGTGTAGAGTAGAATAAAAATAGTATAGGAATAGCAAGCAGATTAGTTGTAGTTTTAATAAGTTCCAACAGATGGCACTCATCTTTAAAATAAATATTCATCTCGTTAGTGCTTTCTCGTAGGTCAAGTTTGAAAGAAGTTATATTTTTTTATATTGTTATTTATTTAAGGTTACTTCTTATAATGTTTTGATATAAAAACAATAAGTAAGTGCCAAAATAGTACAAATAACAGACGCATAGTCTTCTATCACTGCTGGTTCCTATGGATATACGTAGGCCCTTATTTTATTGTGCTTCGAATATATTTGATTATTCCTTGTGCGAGAAAACTTATTAATTGCAAAGCACCTATATTATCATACTGTCAAAAAATGGTTCCATTTTTACCGTGATAATTAGGGTAGACATATCTGCTGTAACCATCATCTAACATAATAACGCTTGTAATAGCGACGAAATATCGCGAGTGTATCAATATCATAATAAATATCATATAAACAATCAACAAAAAATACAAACAGATACTAGATTTAGTGACGGCACTTACCTCCAAGTCAAGTTGGTATGTTTCCACTTCTCGCCCTGCACTGCAAATCTCTTTCTTCTCCTGCCATTTTCTTCGTGTCCAATTTCCCTGTCTGGACGTCCACATCGCTTTTGTTTGAGCAAATTGGCGGTAGCTTCATCGATTTTACCCGTTACTGGAATACCGCCGAATTCCTGCAAAATATTCCATAATTTGAATCATTACTGTAAAATTAGAAAAAAATATGTTATTACAGAATCAGAATAAGAGAATAACGATTAAAGAAAGACTATTCAAAATCTGTTCCAACTTAGGAAATAAAATCTACATACAAAAAACATTCCATTCGATTTGCGAAAATTCTAGTTTGAAAAGAAAATTAATAATTTTACAAAGTGCAATGTATAGGATCTTAAGGTATTAAGTATCTAAATTTAATTTAAAACTTACCTGTAACGTTTTTATAGCAATCTTAAAATTATCCTCGTATTCCGTTGAATTTCCAAGTTTAAGATTTTCCGGTTGACCTATTTTGAGATACCCGAACGTCTGCAAGTAATTTCTCTGTAATAAAGAAAATGCAATAAATTAATACCTATCTACAACGTTACAACATTAATATATTTCAATAATTTAATATTCTAATAATAGCTACGGATTTTATAAATATATGTATGTTGATCGACGTACTGTTTTTCTAAATGTGATTGTAGAATAGATACTGTTTGTAGTTTCTAATAATATCTCAGTAGTTAAATGCCTAAACGTATTTTGATGAATGAGGTATTCTTATTTTATTGTAGTCACGTAATGGCATGGCAAATCCTAATAAATGGCAATCATGAATAGAAAAATAAAGTAAGAAAAAGACAATATTTTCAAATATCAACTTGCAAACTTGCGTGCCATCATCATGAAAAGTTTAAAATGTATTTGCTACATTGGTAACAATGTACATACAATACACAGATAGGTATTCAAACGGATGCTTTTGCATTTAAAATTAGAACCTGCATATTTATGTTTTAATTTAATATTCAAATATAAAACTGTGGTATAAAAAGTTCACATGTTACCAAACACATGTGAACTTTTTATACCACGTATATTGCGTATGAATGAATATTAAAGTGAACTGTAAAAAATATGTGTCATTATTCCTGTTCTATTGTTCTTTTTATTCATAAGAGACTATTTTAAGTGTACAGCCGTTTTTTCTATTCCTCAGTGAGTTACAGACAGCATTTGTACTAAGATTCGTATCATCTAAAGTCAAACATTTGTACGACTCTATGAATATTGTTCTTTGCATTTTAAATTGTGTTCATTATAACCTAAACATACGGTATTACTTATTAAACAACCTTTTTTAATTTAAACCAGTTTCGTTGGGGTCACAATATACCATTAAAGATGTCTTTGTGTACATTTTTTGCTTTGTATTTGGTTCTCTTACAATTTCATTGTCTGTTCCTTTTCGTTCAATTGAAGTTGTGGATATTAAAAAAATATAGGGGTATTTACTAACACCGATATATTGTGTCATTAGTTGTAACTTTTAATTTTTTTAAATTAATGCAGGTACGTGTGTAGTTTTTTACTCTATTATTCCGTCTCGTACTGTGTTCGTTGTCTTATTTGTATAAAACAGGAAAATTCAGAAGAAATTTATTTTATAAATAAAATTTCCATTTTTATGTTCAAACGTTAGAAATATTAGATTGATAAAAAATTGATGATGTTCTATTAACTTAATTTGGATTCTATTGATTAAATTAAATTTATGTAATCAAATTACACTTTATTAATATATATTACTTGCAGAGGATGTCCAACCTGAGACAACAATGAAAGACATTGGAAAGCAATCCAGGGGCCATTATTCACTTCCAAACTTATTTTCCTCAAATGCTTCTGTGAGTATATTTGCGTAGGTATACCTATTTACAAAGGACCAAACTGAGCTCCTACAATAATTGTTTGTTGTGCGTTTGAACTAACAATTTGTGACAGAAATCTTTATCTATGTCTGTAGTTTAGAGATTGGAGTGTGATTGTTTATTTCTTAGAATTTACTTAAATCTTTTATATTCATACCTATAAATGTATTATTAGGTAGTCTTAGAGAATTGTTAACTTTCTATTAAGTTTGATATCATGATGATATACAAATAAGATTATTATCATACAAGCAATTAGATATTTTGGATATTATTTCCATATAAATTTGTCGAAGAAAACTATTTACATTGAAAGTTATTATCGGTTGATACTAATTAGAACGATTTATATATTTTTTACTTTTCACCATAGTTTCGGTTTTTAAATCGAGTAATAATGAAATAGGACTGACTACCAAGATTTCACTCTTCTATATAAATGAAAAACGCCAGAATAACACATAGAAACAGCCATAGATCTCCTCAAATGCTACAATTGCTGAAGACGAAGTTCATAATGCGCCTATACTGTATATTCACTGTCATGTCTTAGTGTTTAGATAGATACAAGCACATGCTACATTACCTAAATTACCTTAGTAGTTATTGTTCATCTACATACTAGCTACCTGTCCTGTCTTAGGACGAGTATACCTCAATTATACATATAAACCTTCCTCTTGAATCACTCTATCTATTGCTAAAAACTGCATTATAATCCGTTGCATAGTTTAAAACATGTAAGTCACCAAACAGCGAAAGTGACTTCATTTTATACTACGTAAAGATAATAAATTATCCGAAATAACTACCCATGTCACTATTGCCACTATCCAGATTAAGTTATAAAACCGTACCCATAAAACAAATGCAAATATTCCTACAATTAGGCTAATATTGCCTACGGAATGGAACCGTGTTAATTGTTTTCTATTATCATAGAATTTATTGCCGAACGCTTTGTCTCTTAATATTTATTAGAATTGTTATTATCACTAATGGCTTTCATTATGCTTTCGTTGTTGTTATGTGAAATGATTTGTGAAAAATTTGTTTTACAAGTGACTGGCTGCTACCCGCAACTCCGTGTACGCAAACTTCCACCCCTATTTCACCCTCTTCTAGATTACTTTTCGATATAATAGAGTAGCTTTAGTAGCTTAAGTTCATTCTCGCAATACTTTATCCTAATTACCTGATCGAATTTAAATACGATCAAGCGTTTAGTTGTCTAAAGGCAACAAATATACAGACACAATTTCGCATATATATCTAATATTAATTTGTATTAAACTGCTTGCGACTAAAAGTATCCTTTGTTCTTTTTCATCCTAAAGCATAAGGCGACTTTTACTGTTAATACAATTAGTTGTTTAACTTTACGTTCATCATAACGACTTTAATAGTCTTCGCAAAGTAGAGGCGAGTTAACTTAAATATATTAATAAATAAATGTCTACATATAAGCAAAAATTCTTGACAACATACATGTCTAGTATGTAAAAGTTGGTAAAGTTTGATAGTAAATCACGCTAAAACCGTAGAATACACTTGATCTGAATATCTATCTAATAGTTAACGTAAGCAAAGCAGCAAAATATAGGTAGTACAAATAAAATAAAATATATCCATAGACATTTACTTTATACATTTTAAATAACAAATAACTTTTCTATTATTCTGATCTACAAAGTGTTTAAAGGTTTTCTTCTAAAATGTCGGCTCAAACAAAATGTAACTTATTTAAGTCACAAAGACAAAGTAGGGAGGGAAAATCTGTAATTAAATTCAATTACAGCATTATCTGATGGTCCTAATCGAAATTAATCTATCAGTTGAAATTAAGGACAAATTACGGGAGCACGTAAATGTGGGACGCTGCCGACGTTGGGAGGACAGTTTCAAATCATTACTAATACCTAATGCTCGCGTGACTATTACCATTTCGTACCTTAATTAAATGAAAAAATTCCACTACGTATATACCTAGTCGTGCAATAGTTTTTGCACACCTTGAACAGCTTCTTGTTACCGACAGAAGAAGTATCAAGCTAAAGGTTCGTATTCAAGTGCCAACGCAACCGTATTTTATTTAGGTATATGTTATGTGCGTATACCTTAAAAAAAGTATAGTGTTTATTGGATAGTATAGACATAGTTGTAAACATTTCTGTTCATGAAATGAGTTATTTAAACAATTAATTTAATTAGTAAGTGATTATGTTGGTACACGAATATTATTCAGTTACCATAGACTAATATAGAACCGAAACTGAAACTTAAATTTTTCACCGAAACTTATGAAGCTATGAACCTCGAAGCTACTCAAAGGATTTCTCTAGCAAATCAGTGCGGAAATCCTGCCAACGTTATGGGTACCTTTTGTCCGGGTACGACGGTTTAATTTTAGCTGATCATTGTCTTGTCCTTTAATTAAAAAAAAACTTTGTAATAAAAAGTAAAGTGACATTTTAAAAAATTACACTACGTGAAAACTTATACTTATAATCATTATACTTAATTTTCAATATTCAATCCATTATTTTTTTTTAAAACAGTGGAATCATTTTTTAATTAATGAAAAGGAAAAAAATATGCAACACATTCTGCGAAAACATTATTAATATGCACATATTGATTTTAGTTTTTATTACAGAACTAATTAATTACAAATATAGGTAAGTACAATACGAGACTGCAATATTTCCCTAGCTATAATATAAAATTAATAATCCTATTTTAATAGTTGTTTGTCTTTTTTTTCGTGTTATTTACTTAATTTGAAAGAAAGTGACACAACACTGTTACAGTTAAAAAAATGTGTGTGTAGGACGAAGTCTCTTAGGGGATTCATATATTAGCCCCGACGTTAATTACCATAATCATTACTGGCATTGATCATTACCACACTATGGGATGCACCCTGCGCCTGTCATCACGGACTAATCAACTGCGGCGGCGTCGAGGGGGTGGCTTGGCGGGTGCAATATGCACATTAATGCGCCGTGACGGTTTCTACTGTTACCGGGTAGGGTTTCAATTTAGATAAATTATTATGATAAGGATAACTATAATATATAAATTGATAATGATATTATAAATATTAAAGTGTGTTTATCTGCCCGTTTGTATTTTACCTTTTTACAACAAAAGTTCTGTACGAATAAAATTGAAATTTGATAAGAACATAGGCACGTAATACACCAACTGTCACATTTGAATCCCAAAAGAAGTCCCGGGCAGTATTTAGTAAATTTATAATTTTTAACGGCCTCAGTGATCTAACGGTTTATATAGCATCACCACTTAGGTACATCTTAATTCCGATGATCGCAGGTTTGATTTCTCGCAACGCACAGGCATTTTTATTCATGAGTATGATTGTTTGTATCGGTCTGGGTGTTTCCTATGAATATGATGTATGTATTTGCAGAAAATGTAGATATCTATATACACATAAGTGGTTTAGTAGCTATAATAACACAAACTCTGCTTAGCTTGCAACTAAATGGCGCTGTGTTATATTATTACTAGCTGTATCGGCAAACGCTGTTTTACCATATAAATTAATAACGCTATAAAAAAATAGGGGTTGGTGATAGAAGGGTGAAAATTTAGGGTTAT